GACTAAATGGGTTGTTACAGAACTATTCCCCTTTTACTATGGTTCTTTTGCTTCAAACCTGATCAATTGCTTCTACTAATGTCATCTAGTTCAATGTTGCTGACATAAGTTTCAGAAAGGAAATTGTATGTAGTGCTACTTTGACATAACTGACGTTATTTTCACCAATGCTCTTGAGCAAAAATAGTATGTGTCTGAAATCATCCAAACAAAATAAGTGAATAAAACAGTTGATGTCAGTTATTAATTAATTGAAGAGTTACATAGTACACGTTGTTGGTGGAAGGTGGTAGGTTTTATCATCACTTAGTAGAGATAGTTTCAACATTTGGCGTGCAAATAGGGAATGGGGACATCATTTGCTGTGATAAATTTGCCGGAATCTTCAAATTCTATTGCCAGGTTTTATCATCACTCAGGATTATTATCCTTTTGCACTTGGAGGGACTGATTTCATTTTTGGTTTCAAATGGTTAGCTTCTCTCAATATTATTCAAGCTAATTGGAAGTATATGTTCATAATTTTCAATTAGAAATGGAAACATTACGAACTGCAAGGAATGAGATCAGCAAATTCCACCACGAGTTCCCTCCAATCTTTTAGTTTTGGTAATTTGTAATTCATGGTGGAACCTAAAAAGTTTTATTACATCAATGGGACAAAGAAGCTGGTCTTCTTCTTTGGAACTGCTAGTTCAATGGGTTGACTATTGAAGAAGCTAGCTGGGAGAACTATGATCTCATTGCAGATCAATTTCTTTCTTTTTGCCTTGAGGATAAGGTGAATTTTTAGAGGGGATGCACTGATACGACTTCTCCTTTATCTTAGTTTCTTTGTTTTAAATTTGGATAAAATATATAAGCAGTCGTTATCTATACTAGTTATAAGCAACAATTATTATCTGCAGTTATCTTACTATAGTGACTATTTCTATGTGTTAGGAGTTATCTTTATGTTAAGTATAAATATATATGTATCTAGGAGAATTCGATAGGAAGAAAAAAATTATTATCATTATCTTTGTATCTAGATATTTGTCCACTGTATACAGACATAGTTATTGTTTAATGCAGTGTTTAAGATTCTTATACTTTATTTAACTAGTAAAGTTTCATTCTCATCTCGTTTCATCTTAGTTTCCATCTGAGATCTACTCTCTCCTTTCCTCTTTGTCCTAGCCATGGAGGCTATAATAGTATGATGAGAGTAGCTATCCAAAACATTTGACTACAAGGCTTCAATGTCAGCAACTCATTCAGAGAGGAAATGCAGATTTGTCATCTGCACTATGCAGATGACACAATTATTTTCTGTGAAGCCAGGATTGATCAGGTCAAGAGTCACTTAGGTGGTTTTAAGCAGTTTCTAGCTTATCAGTAAATTGGAGGAAATACATCTTTCCTATTAAAGAAGTCCCTCAACTTTGGCAAGGATATTGGGCTGTAGAATAGAACAATCCAGAACTTACTTGGGCATGCCATTGGGACATAAAAAAAACATAAGGATTTAGAAATTTTGTATGACATAATTGAAAACACAGAAAAATTGACCAATTGAAAAGCTCAGTATATCCTAGATATATCTCTAGTAGAAAGAGTCACTTTGATAAGATGAGTGTTGGACTCGCTTCCAACTTATGTTAGGTCTCTATTCTTTATACGACTATACCTGCCAAAGTGGATGAAAGACTTGACAAACCGACAAGAGATTTCTTGTGGTTAGGGAATAAAGAAGGGAAGGGTTTTCATTATGCCAAATGGTAGACTGCACATTACATAAACAAGCTAGTGGACTTGGAATCAGAAACTTGGGGTTACAGAACAAATACCTCTTGTCAAAATGACTATGGAGGTTCAACACTGAGGAACAGGTCTCGTGGAGGGAGGTGATAGTCAACAAGTATGGGTTGAATTGAAACTGGGTCTCCAACTATGTGCATATCACTTAGGGGATGTCAACTTGGAGAACAATAAGGAATTTTTGGCCTGATCTAAGTAGAAACATAGTGTACAAGGTAGAAAATTGGACTAAATCCTATTATGGAAGGAGAATTGGAATGGAAATGAGACACTGATAGTCTTATTTCCAATCCTATTTTCCTTTAGCACCAATCCGGAGGAATTAGTGGTTGAGTTATGGTCTACTCATGGTCTATGAATAGAATAGTTCGGAATGCATTGAAATGACTGGGAGACTGTGAAAGGGGTTGATCTATTACAAGTTCTAACTGCAGATTGGAGAAAAAAGATCCCAACCAAAATAAAGTGTTTCTTGGTTTGTTGCCAGAGAAATAGAAAACCATCATGCATTTGGTAGTCTAGCTAGAAAAAAAATAAATAGCAAACGCTTTGAAAACAAGGCTAAATCAATAGGGAAAGTCAAATTGAAGTTCTTGACTAATTTTTGTTTTTGGTATAATTATAAAGAAGGGACATAAAAAGCTACACAAATTTTAGATTTTATAGGCACTTCATAAGCCATTAGCCTTTTTTGTTTTTTCTCTTGTTCGAAATCAATTTTTGGAGATATCCAGCATATCCTTAATGCAGAGAAATACAACATTATCTTTCTCAAATAGTATTTGCAATTGATGGTCTAGAAAACTATAGTGAAGTTACAACTGTGATGTCGTTATAGTTAAAACTGAACTCTGAACTATTTCATTGAGCAAATTATCTTTCTTGACTTTTCGATACTGTAAAACCCTGTAGCCAAAACAGACCAAAAACTAGCTTTATAGAAAAAATCTGCAGGTGCAACCAATGATGGCATCGACGTTCCGTCCTACACAACCTTCGATGTGATCAGAAATTCCTAAAAATTTCAGCCTAGAAAAATGGTTAAGTCTAGGACGATGGACGGAATAACGGTCCGTAGATCAGATGACGGTCCGTCCTGCACAACCGTCGATGGGATCAGAAACTAACAAAAATTTCAGTATAGAAAATTGATCAAGTCTTGGACAACGGATGGACATACAGTCTATAGGTAAGACGATGGTCCATAATCCATGACCGTCGATCGATACTCCCATTTACCCACTCTCTGACAAGAGATACAGATGACCAGCACGACCCGTAGGTGGATAATTTGCAGACGGTTAAGGGGGAACGCAATTGGGTCAACTTAAAATGTTCATAACTCTTAGCTTAAAATGAATTAGGTGTCCTATGACCTACCCACAGATAGATAATTGAATCAGCTTGTCATAGCTACAAACCTTGCAAAAACTGACCCCCGAGTAAAGAGTTATACCCATTTTAGTAAAGGTCTGTCGAACAGGCCCAGTCGACGGACCCAACAACGGGGTGTCGGTCATACGATGGACCATTAGTCCTGGCCGTCGTTTGATCCAACAATAACTTATCCAGGGGTCTTTTCCCATATCATTTAAACCTTAAGTTACGTCATTTTGACCCTAAATAATCAGATTTTAGTCAATTTTAGCCTAGAAACATAATTAAAACATATCTAAGTCAAATCATTAAATCAAAAGTTAGCAAAAATTAGAAGAAAGAAAGGAGAAAAAGCTCAAGAACCCTAGTTCAAGAACGCAACAATCTCCAGAAGTTCCAACATCGAAACCTAAGTATTTTTTCGTTGATTTCATCACCAGGCATGTGGGATTTCACTAGTGGGTTCCTTTCACCCATTGCGTCACTAGTTTTTAGTCAGATTCTTGATTCTATTATCTTGATTAAACCTAGGGATTCTAGAACTTTGATAGAACTTCATGAACCTATTAAATACATGTTCCAAATTAGATTATCATATTATTACACATATTATCTCTTGAATTTTAGAACCCTAGCTTTGTAATTCTTTAGTTCTTGAATTACACATGCTAGGTCAGATATTTTAGATACTTCAGATATACATGTCTCAATTATAAATGCATAATTACCAGATTAATTGTTGCATTCTCAGTTTGCATGTTTAGTTTCGAGCTATCCGGTATTTACATAAACTCAGACATACTCAGTAAATTTAAAAAATCCATGGGAGTAGCATAATACCAAGTTGGACTAGGGTTTAGCGTACCCAATAGTCCCAGAACTACTAGCCAAGTAGTTTTTAAGTCTTTTCTATAGGCAATTAGTTTAGAAGCTCCCACAGATCAGTAAGACTCTCTGCATTGACCATTTATCAGTATATTCAGTATTCAGTTTTAGCATGTTATAAATTGGTCATTGCATTTAGTTAGCTTAGAATTCAGTTTATTATGTCACATTATTATATTTGCTTTTATGCTTGTTCAGTTATGTTTTATTTCAGCTTTACTCTATCCTACATGCTCAGTACCTTTAAAGTACTGACACATACGTGCACTACATCTTCACGTGACATATGTTTAAGTTCTCAGCATCCAGATCACGCATAGATTGATTTTCCGATCACCAGTTCAGCAGATTCAGTAGTGAGTCCTCATTATCCGAGGACAATAGTCATGAGTTCATTTCCATCTTCTTTTAGTTATTTAGTTTCAAATTTCTCTAGATTTAGCTGGGGGCTTGTCCCAGTATTTCAAGTCCAGTTTAGAGGCTTATTTCAAAATAGTTAGTTTCAGCTTAATGTTGAGTTAGTAACTTCATTGTATTAAACTCATTAGTTTTCTTATATATCAGTTTTAGCATATGGGTATTCCCCATCTTTTCAGATTTAATTATTTAGCTTCTGCATCAATTTATTATCTTTAGTATTCTCATGATCATGCTAGCAGGGTTAGCTTGGGATCACTTGTGGTATTAGGTTCCGTGTCCGCATCTCAGGGGTAACTCGGGGCGTGACAAAACTCTATATCTGAGCACTAGGTTTAAGTGTCCTTGGATGTCTGAAAAGCCGCACTAAGTAGAGTCTTTTTTATGGGTGTGAAGCGCACCACATCTAATGAGAGGGAGGCTATGAAGTGTTTTAGGAAAAACTTCATTTTCTTGGTATTCTTATTGTGCGTGATGTATGATCTTACTCCATTCTAACTTAATGTTCTATGTTTTAGATCATGCCTCCTTGTAGAGCTAATGCTAGGAATGTGAACGCCAGGGATGCAAACGCAGCTCCTCCAGTCCCAGTCCCAGAACAATCGGGTTCATGCTCATGTGAATGCAAATGGTGGATCAGTAGCAGTAAGGGTCCGTGACTTTGTTAGGATGAATCCACCTGAGTTCTTAGGATCACAGACTAATGAGGATCCTCTGAGGTAATGCAAGTCACTGGGAATGATCGGGTCGAGTTGGAATCATATCAGTTGAAAGATGTTGCTCATATTTGGTACACTCAGTGGAAGGATGTTCCTCGACATATTTTTCCCAATAGAGTTGAGAGAAGCAAAAGCCTAAGAATTCATGAACTTAAGGCAGGGTAACATGATAGTCCAAGTGTATGGACTCAAATTTAATCAACTCTCCAAGTATGCTCCTCACATGGTTGTTGACTCTAGGGCTCAGATGAATAAGTTTTTGTATGGAGTGTCAGATTTGGTGAAAACTGAGTGCAAAAATGCAATGTTACTTGGAGATATGAACATCTCTAGGCTTATGACTTATGCTCAGCAGGTTGAGGGTGATAAGCTTAGGGAACAGGCTAAGGAAAATAAGAAGGCTAGGACTGGGAATTATGACTATTCTCAGCAGAAATCGGGTGGTGGAAATCGCTCGCAGGGTCAGTAGAAGTTTTCGGCTCCAGCCTCTTCACCAGCTAGTGTTCCATCCTCCAAGAACATGTACGACTAGAAGGGTAGAGCACCAGGCTCTAAATCTCAAGGAAGTGTTTCAGCACCAAGACTTACCCCACTTGCCCTAAGTGTGGTAAGAACTATACGGGCGAGTGTCTTGCAGGAAAAGAAAGATGTTTTGGGTGCGGTCGGTCTGGTCACAGGTTGGGGATTGTCCTTCTAGACAAGGTCAAAGAGGTGGTAATGGTAGAGCTCAGTCTACAACTTCAGCAGCACCGGCAAGTCGCCAAACTAAGTAGGGTAACTCATCTGGTACAGGTGGCGGTCAGCACCAGAATAGGTTGTATGCTTTTCAGGCTCGCCAGGATCAGGAAGGTTCTCCTGATGTCGTCACTGGTACGTTACGTGTCTTTGACCTAGATGTTTATGCATTGTTAGATCCAGGGGCTACTCTTTCTCTTGTAACTCCTTACATAACAGTCCGATTCAATATCAGTCTAGAAACTCTCTCAAAACCTTTCTCAGTCTCTACTCTAGTCGGTGACCCAGTTATAGCTAAACAGGTATACAGAAATGTCCCTGTCACAGTCTCTCAGAAAGTCACATCAACAGATCTATAAAAGTTAGAAATGGTATACTTCAATGTCATTCTAGGCGTGTATTGGTTACATTCATGTTATGCCTCAGTCGATTGTAGAACTAGGATTGTTCTTTTTCAGTTTCCAGATGAACCAATCTTAGAATGGAAGGGTAGTAGCTTAGCGCCTATGGGTCGATTTATTTCTTACCTTAAGTCCAGAAAGATGAAATCTAAGGGTTATCTCTATCATATAGTTCGGGTTAAGGATTCTATCCTTGAAACCCCAACATTTGAGTCAGCTCCAATTGTTTGTGAATTTCTAGAAGTGTTTCCAAAAGATCTTCCCAGAGTCTTTCCGGAAAGGGAAATCAACTTTGGAATTGATCTCCTTCTAGATACCCAACCTATTTCTATTCCTCCTAACAGAATGGCTCCAGCAGAGCTTAAGGAATTGAAAGAGCAGTTGAAAGTCCTTCTAGATAAGGGTTTCATCATACCTAGTATTTCACCATGGGGTGCACCAAAGTTGTTCATAATAAAGAAAGATGGTTCTCTTAGAATGTGCATTAACTATAGACATTTGAACAAGGTCACAATCAAGAGTAAGTATTCTATCCCCAGGATTGATGATTTATTTGACCAACTTCAGGGTGCTAGCCATTTCTCAAAGATAGACCTCACATCGGGTTATCATCAGCTCAGAGTCAGAGATAGTGACATTCCGAAAACAGCCTTCAAAACTCGATATGGTCATTATGAATTTGTAGTTATGTCGTTTGGACTGACTAATGCTCCTGCAGCTTTCATGGATTTGATGAACAGAGTGTTCAAATAGTACTTGGACTTGTTCGTTATCATCTTCATTGATGATATGTCATTTACTCTAGGAATGAGGAAGAATATGCAAGTCATTTGAAAATTATTTTACATACTCTTAAGATCGCTAGTTATTCGCTAAGTTCAGCAAATGTGAGTTCTGGTTGCAATCCGTTGCTTTCCTTTGTCACATTGTATCTAGGGAAGGGATCCAAGTGGATTCACAAAAGATAGAAGCAGAGAAATAGTGGCCCAGACCTACCTCTGCTACAGATATCAGGAGTTTCTTAGGTCAAGTGGGTTATTACAGAAGGTTCGTGGAAGGATTTTTATCCATAGCATCACCATTGACTAGGTTGACTTAGAAAATGGTCAAGTTTCAATGGTCAGATGATTGTGAGAAAAGCTTTTGCAGAATTAAAAACATGATTTACTACAGCTCCTGTCTTGACTCTACCAAAGGGTTCAGATGGTTATGTGATCCATTGTGATGAATCCAGAGTTGGCCTAGGTTGTGTGTTGATGCAGCGAGGTAAGGTGATAGTTATGCCTCTAGACAACTTAAGGTTCATGAGAAGAACTATCTAACTCATGACCTCGAGCTTGTAGCAGTAGTGTTTGCACTCAAGATCTGGAGACACTACTTGTATGGTGTTCACGTAGATGTGTCCACTGACCATAAGAGTCTTCAGTATGTGTTCACCCAAAAGGAGTTAAATCTTCGTCAAAGGAGATGGCTTGAGTTCTTAAGGATTATGATATGAGTGTGAATTACCATCCTAGTAAGGCAAATGTAGTAGCAAATGCTCTTATTAGATTATCTATGGGTAGTGTAGCCCATGTTGAGGAAGAAAATAAGGAGCTTGTGAAGGATGTCCACAGGCTTGCTCGCTTGGGAGTTTGCCTTATGAGCATATCAGACAATGCTGTAACAGTTTAGAATGGGGCAGAATCTTCTTTGGTGGTGGAGGTTGAGGAAAAGCAAGACAGTGATCCAATCTTGCTGAACTTAAGGGTGCAGTCCATAATCAGAGAGTGGAGGTTTTCTCCCAAGGGGAAGATGGTGTAATTTGCTACCAGGGTAGATTTTGTGTTCCTGATGTGGGTGAGTTGAGAAAACATATTCTTGCAGAAGCCCATAAATCTAGGTATTCTATTCATCCAGGTGCCACTAAGATGTACCGCGATCTGCGAGAAGTCTATTAGTGGAATGTCATGAAGAGGCATAGCAGATTTTGTGCGTAAGTGCCCCTATTGCCAGCAAGTCAAGGTAGAACACCAGAAAATATGAGGTATGACTTAAGAGATTGATATTTCTACTTGGAAGTGGAATGTGATCAACATGGACTTCATCACAGGATTACCGCATACTCGCAGACAGCATGACTCTATTTGTGTGATAGATGATAGGATGACTAAGTCTTCTCGCTTCTTGGCGGTCAAGACTATATATTCGGCAGAAGACTATGCAGGGCTTTACATTAATGAGATTGTGAGGCTAGATGGGGTTCCTTTGTCTATCATCTCACATAGAGGTCCTCAATTTACCTCTAATTTCTGGAAGTCATTTCAGAAAGGTCTTGGTACTCAAGTTAACCTTAGTACATCATTTCATCCACAGAAGGATGGGCAGGCAGAGCGTACCATTCATACATTAGAGGATATGTTGAGAGCTTGTGTGATCGATTTCAAAGGTAGTTGGGATGATCACCTTTCTCTTATTGAGTTTTCCTACAATAATAGCTACCATTCCAACATTCAGATTGACCCTTATGAGGCTTTATATGGGCGTAGATGTAGATCTTCTGTTGGTTTGTTTGAAGTAGGTGAAGTAGCTTTGATAGGGCCAAACTCAGTCCTTTATGTTATGGAGAAAGTGCAACTCATTAGAGATAGACTTAAGATAGCCCAAAGTCGTCAGAAATCTTATGCAGCTGTAAGGATAATGGAACTAGAATTCCAAGTTGATGATTGGGTTTTTCTGAAAGTCTCACCTATAAAAGGGGTGATGAGATTTTTAAAGAAAGGGAAACGAAGTCATAAATATGTAGTCCCTTACAAGATCTTGAAAAGGATTGGCAAGGTGGCATATGCATTAGAGTTGCCAGCAGAATTTGCAGCAGTGCATCCAGTCTTCCACATCTCACTCTTGAAGAAGTGTGTGGGTGACCCGGCCTGTATAGTGTCATTAGAGAGTGTGGTGGTGAAAGATAGTCTTTCTTCTGAGGATGTACCAGTTGAGATTTTTGACCATCAGGTTAGAAGGTTGAGAAATAAAGAAGTCGCTTCAGTCAAGGTTTTGTGGAGGAGTCAGTCGTAAAGGAGCTACTTGGAAAGCAGAAGCAACCATGAAAACCAAGTATCGTTACCTCTTTCCTTCCTATTCGACTCCAGATTGAGGTAATAGTTCCTCCTCAATTTTCTAGTCATTCATGTGTGAATTCAGTCTTAGAATCATGTTCCCTCAATTTGTACATGCATTTTCAGCGTATTTGCATGTTATCGAAACTCAATTCAGTCAGAAACTCAGTTCTTAGTGTTTATTAGTAGGGTTTGCAGCTCTCTCCCTCTAGTTCAGCTAGTTTAGTCTTCATTCGAAGACGAATGTTCCCAAGGGGGGAGATAATGTAACACCCCGTAGCCAAAACAAACCAACAACCAGCTTTACAGAAAAAAATCTGCACGTGCAACTAATGGTGGCATCGACGGTCCGTAGGTCAGACGACGGTCCGTCCTGCACAACCGTCGATGGGATCAGAAACTCCCAAAAATTTCAGCCCAGAAAATTGGTTAAGTCTTGGAAGACAGACGAAATTACGATCCATAAGTCAGATAATGTTCCGTCTTGCACAACCGCCAATGTGATCAGAAACTCCCAAAAATTTCAGCCCAGAAAATTGGTTAAGTCGTGGACAACAGACGAACTTATGGTCCGTCGGTCAGACGACGGTCCGTAGTCCGTGTTTGTCAATCAAAACCCCCATTCACCCACTCTCTGACGAGAGTTATGGATGACCAGCACGGTCTGTAGGTGGACCTAACGTAGGTTTGACCGTAGGTAGAAAATTTGCAGACAGTTAAGGGGATATGCAGTAGGGTCAACTTCAAATGGTCATAACTCTTAAAACAAAATGCATTATGTGTCCCATGACCTACCCACAAATAGATAATTGAATTATCTTACCATAACCACCAACCTTGCTAAAATCAGACCCCCGAGTAAAGAGTTATGCCCATTTTAGTAAAGGCCTATCGAACAGGCCCAGTCGACGGACCCAACAACAGGGCATCGGTCAGACGACGGACCGTCAGTCCTGGCCGTCGTTTTGTCCGACAGCAACTTACCTAGGGGTCTTTTGGTCTTTTCCCACATCATTTAAACCTTAAGTTACGTCGTTTTGACCCTAAATAATCATACTTTAGTCAGTTTAAGCCTAGGACCATAATTAAAACATATCTAAGTCAAATCATTAAATCAAAAGTTAGAAAAAATTAGAGGCAAGAAAGGAGAAAAAGCTCAAGAACCCTAGTTCAAGAACGCAACAATCTCCAGCAGTTCCAACATCGAAACCTAAGTATTTTTTCTAGCATTACATCACCAGGCATGTGGAATTTCACTAGTGGGTTCCTTTCACCCATTGGGTCACTAGTTTTCAGTCAGATTTTTAATTCTATTATCTTGATTAAACCTAGGGTTTCTAGAACTTTGATAGAACTTCATGAACCTATTAAATACATGTTCCAAATCAGATTATCATGTTTTTACTCATATTATCTCTTGAATTTCAGAACCCTAGCTCTGTATTTCTTTAGTTCTTGAATTACACATGCTAGGTCAGATATTTCAGATACTTCAGATATACATGTCTTAGTTATAAATGCATAATTACCAGATTAATTGTTGCATTCTAAGTTTGCATATTCAGTTTTTAGCTATCCAATATTTACAGAAACTTAGACATAATCAGTAAATTTAAAAAATCCATGGGAGTAGCATAATACCGAGTTGGACTAGGGTTTAGCGTATCCAATAGTCCCAAAACTACTAGCGAAGTAGTTTTTAAGTCCACTCAGTGGGCAATCAGTTTAGTGATCAAGCCAGCATGCCTTTATACCTTTGGCAGAGTATATTGGGTCCTCTCGGTGGGGCGTACACATCAGAATCCACATTTAGCTCATGTGGTTTTATTATCAGTTTTTAGAAGCTACCACAGATCAGCCAGACTCTCTGCATTGACCATTTATCAGTATATTCAGTATTCAGTTTTAGCATATTATAAATTGGTTATTGCATTTAGTTAGCTTAGAATTCAGTTTATCATGTCAGATTATTATATTTGCTTTTATGCTTGTTCAGTTATGTTTTATTTCAAGTTTACTCTATCCTACATGCTCAGTATCTTTCAAGTACTGACGCATACATGCAACTACATTTTCTTGTGATATATGTTTAGGTTCTCAGCATCCAGATCACGCATAGATTGATTTTTTCGATCTCCTGTTCAGCAGATTCAGTGGTGAGTCCTCATTATTTGAGGACAATAGTCATGAGTTCATTTCAGTTTTGCTTTAGTCATTTAGTTTCAGTTTTTGCTAGATTTAGTTGGGGGCTTGTCCCAGTATTTCTAGTCCAGTTTAGAGGCTTATTTCAAACAGAGTTAGTTTCAGCTTAGTGTTGAGTTAGTAACATCATTAGATTAAACTCATCGGTTTTCTTATATATCAGGTTTAGCATATAGGTATTCCCCATCTTTTCATATTTAATTATAATTTAGTTTCCGCATCAGTTTATTGTTTTTAGTATGCTCATGATCATGTCAGCAGGGTTAGCTTGGGATCACTTGTGGTCTTAGGTTCCGTGTCCGCGTGTCATGGGTAGCTCGGTGTTGGGTTTTATTTGCCCTGATTTCTTACTATAAATAAGTTTTCCTTTTAGGAAAAGGTTTTGAATTGACTAATCTTTTTTTTGGTAGGAAAAGGTTTAGGACTCTATAAATAGAGGCATGTTCCTTCTAACTTAATTAGCATTCACAATGTAGTTTTAAGGGTTTTGAGAGTTTTTGTCAGGGGAAGAAATTGTGGGTCACAAGCTTGATACGTTATCACTTGTGTGAACCTCCCATGTATTCCGAGTGAATTGGTTGAGGTTGTTTCTCTCTGTATTTTGTACTCTCATATTTATAGTGGATTGCTCATCTCCTTTGTGGACGTAGGTCGATTGACCGAACCACGTTAAATCTCTGTGTCTTTTGGTATATTTCTCGTTGTCTTCTTACTCGTGATCTTTCGAGGTTTGCTTTGCTAGCTTCCACGTTTACACCTGCTTATTTTCGGTCCTAACACTCGGGGCGTGAAAGATACGTATAGAGGAAAGTGCCTTAAGTTTACGATTGAAGCAATTACTGGCTCATTGACTTTCTTGCATAATTTAATAAGTTAAAATATTTGAATAAGTTCCACAATAGATGATTTTTATCTTTGTGCAATTTATTAGTGTATGTGTAGTCTGTTTGATGGTGGGAGAGTTGTTGATGAAGCATCTAATTTTTCATTGTGTTTCGGTTGCTAGGACTTCAACACTTTGGTGAACCTTGTTGTTGCCCTGGAGAAAGAAGGAACCAGTGTATTTCGCTTTGATTTCCCGGAAATGGGTAAGCTCTTGGTATTAAAAGAACCTCTAGATAAAGAGGGAGCTTTTTCATTGACTGTCGTGAATGTTGTTTCAGTAGCTTACTGTGATTGGTGTGAACAGTATCATCTTCTTATTCAAGTGCAATTTTTTCTAGATATAGGAGCTACTATTCAGTTTGTATTTAATCTATGGCTTCTATTTCTCCCTTATCATTGGTTAATAGTATTTACTGCAACTACCTAAAACTATAGAGGCTTCTAACTTCGAAATAAATAATAGTTGTGAGCCAACATTTTTCCCCAAGGGAATAAATCATTATTCCAACAATGTGAGCAGGGGTTGGTCATAACTATAAAGTGTCTACATTCTAATGATTTTCTTTATTGACTTTCTTGTAAAAGTAGGAAATTACAATGGGATACAAACGTAACTTGAGGTCAATGCAATGGTTCAAAAAGCAAATTCATACATCATTTCTATTCCATAATTCTCTTTGGTTTACTTCCGTTCTCATCATCTTAGCTTTCAGAAATTTGTCGTCCCATATTTCTGTATACGGTGACTAACATTAGTTCTTTCACAATTTTTGGTTGTACATTATCTACTGCTTTCCAGTGATTTCAGTATGGTAACTACCGTAGAGAGGCGAATGACTTGCATTCTGTGGTTGAATATTTCAATGGAGCAAACCGCAAAGTAGCAGCAGTCCTTGGACATAGTAAAGGTGCATCAACTTTTTGCCAAGAGTTGTATAGTATATTAAGAGTATTTTGTGCGCTATGGTGAAGAAAGAGGTTTTTCCTGCAGCATTATTATGCTTTAGGTTTTTATTTAGTTTTTGGTGAGATCTAGATGCGACAATAGGATGCGATTATACCACGGCTCACACACCAGGATCTCATCAAAACTCCAAAGCTAAAGTGTGCTTGGGTGAGAGTAGTACTAGGACGGGTGACCCTTGGGAAGTCCTTGTGTTGTATCCCTCCTTTTTCTTGAACCGAGAGTACATGGGAAATGGCCTCTCTACCTGTCATAGGGTAAGGGTAAGGTCTGCATATAGTCCACCCTTCCAGACCTCACCTATGGGATTATACTATAATCTTTTCCCACATAATCACATTGTGGCTCTTCCTTCATGCAGGGCAGAGGCATAGTGGTATTTATGGGTTCAGCAGAATCACTTTGGCTCAAACCTTATGTTTGTGTTAAAAAATCATTTCTTATGTACAAATTATCTATCCAGAACTCAATAAGCAAAAAGAATGGTGGTCTAGAACCCATAAACAAAAGATCCTAACTCCGTCTCTGTCTTCATGGAATCTTGTTAAGGTGTAACTGCAAATTCAAATATGTGCCAAAGTCCCTTGTTCCTTTTAGATTATGTCAGCTAGTTGTCTTTATTAAAGAAAGATATTAGATAGTTGTTGTTGTACCCCTTGTTAATTTTGAAACTAGTTGTTCCAAGTACAGACAAGATTTTGTTAATGGTGGTTTCTGGGCCAGCTTGAGCAGCCCATGACTATTCTACTAGGAACCTGCTACCTCCCACCAACTAAGATATTGGGTAATGCTGTCAGCTTAATTAGCCAGATGAGAAGAAGAGAACAGACGGAAGGCTAGGTTGTATATTCATTGCTAGGGCCATAAACGAGAAATATCAGCTATGAGAACTCCTTGTGGTTGAATTCATTGCTCCAAACTCATGTGCCAAAAGAGAAAAAGGACCAACAAGAAGGATATATATACTTAGGTTTGAGAAATTATTTTACCTCAATAAAAAATAAAATTCAAAGAGTTCGTCAACTCAATGCAAATAATGGAAATTATACCTGAATATTAATCACTGGGGCTCAATAGGGATGTACTTTGTTTTGTGCTCTCATTTTCCTCTATAAATGACATTAAGTATTATCATTTTGTCATGTTCATGCATGTTGACTAATTATGAGAAATGAACTGTTGCAGGAGGGGAATGATGTGCTTCTATATGCTTCTAAGTATCATGATGTTCACACAGTCATCAATTTGTCTGGCCGTTATAATCTAGAGAAAGGTATTACAAGGCGCTTGGGGAAGGACTTTCTGGAAGTAATCAAGAAGGATAGCTTCATTGATGTTAAAAATATAGCAGGTAATGACAGCAAATCTTTATCCTGCTTATGCATATAAACATTTTCCCCTTTTGCCAGTAGAGAAAAGAATTCTTGGTTTCGTTATTTATATAGTTAATGTTAATTCAGATAATAGATAATATGTGAATTTGATAGAAGACTAATCTCAATTTGGTGTTTGATTTCTCTATCATGCGAATGTTTTAACAAGTTTGACATCTCAAGAGCAAGAAGAGTCAAAACACACAATATCTACTAGTTTATCCCCATTTATTTGTTTTGTTTACTTTTAGGACTTTTAGGACTAATAGCTGAGGAAACTAAGAATGTATCTACCCCCAGCCATGATGCTTTATATCTAGTATTACCTTGGTCTCTCTTTGGCTCTTGAGACCAAGATGCCTATGAACTGTGGTACTTAGACTAAGGCTCCATTGACAAAGTAAGAACCTCTTGCTCAGTATGTTAAATGATAATTTAGGCTTCCATAGCCATTTTCTTCTCCATCTATGGAGTTGGTTAAGCCAATGACAATGCATTGGATTTTCATTTCTTTGGAGAGCTAAATATATGATTTCTCTGTTTGTCGGAAATGTTGATTACCGTGTTACCGAGGAAAGTTTAATGGATCGACTTAATACAAACATGCATGATGCATGCCTTCAAATTGATAAAGGATGCAGGTTGGACTGATCTTATTCCATTATGTCTATACCGTCTCTTTCCCATTGGCATCTCTATAGGTATAACAGACTCGCTGCAAAAACAAAAAAAGGAAAAGGAAAATAAAGCCACTGCTGTACTTTGTGGCATTTACAGTTTCATTTGCACTCGTGCAAATGGTTTTTCTTACAGTGAATTCTATTCAATGCAACTTTAGCAAGAAATACTCAGAAAACTTTGCTCTCAATACCAAGACAACCTCATCAAAGAGAATACTAATAGAACAGTTGTCTTGCTTTCAGCAAGTTGTTACATTCATGAACAGTTAATCCATCTTAAGATGTTATCTCAGAATCCTAGTGCTCATCTGCATCTATTGTTCTGGTTTTTAACTACAAAATAATGAGAGACATGACTTTCTTCTGGAAGATGGAGATGTCAATGGAAATTAGGAACCACAAGAAGAAAGAGATCTGTTAAACTATTGAACTTGAAAAGCTTGAAGCTTCCCTTAATGTTAACTTGTTTCTTGGTACAACCAGATTTACCCCTGAAGTTAATATCATTTTGTTCATGCAATTTTTCTAATTTTGTTTCACTCCCTTTCAGTCATTTCTTTGAGTATAGGGAGTAAGTTCTAGGAAAAGAACAAGCCTGCTTAAGCTTTGGAGTCGAGATGCTTAGATCTATGTTACCAAATAGGTTAAATTCTTTAGTTTGCAGAATGGAAACAATGTTGACATTCACTACATACATGGAATGCAGATTCCTTGGAATAGACTATTTTAGGTCATATAGTCAACAGACTTTAAGAAACTATAAAAAAGCTAATTTCCTTAAGTCATAGAAGCTACAGAAGATTGACATAGTGAAAATAGTTTAGATATTAATAATATATATTAGGATTGTATTTTTATTATATTGAGTTGAAAAAGCTGAAGGTGATGGTTCTAACTCACAATTGAGGTTGTTGTAACATAGCAGTCTAACCTCGCTTTGATCTTGTCGGTTGGCACTATATTTCTGGACTGATCTATTCACCTTTAATGCATCAATGACTTGATCATATATAGGGTACAAACTGATGAAATTGCATTTTGTATAGGGTATTGACAGTTCATGGGTCTGCGGATGAAATTATTCCAGTGGAGGATGCGTTAGAGTTTGATGAAATCATACCGAACCACAAATTGCATATCAGCGAAGGAGCCAATCATTGCTATACATCACACCAAGCTGAGTTAACGCCTGTGATCTTGCCATTCATAAAGGAAGGTCTGCAACACTGAGAAATAGAACTAGGACACCAGATAGGTACTTTGGAATTTTCAAATGTTTTGAAATGTTCGAAAATGGATGTCAGAAAAATTGGGATAGTAGTAAAAACAACAAAATCAATACAAAGTCTGAACCAAAACAGGAAAGAAACGCTAGTGGAACATGCTCCACTAGCTCAACTCAAAAACTACGCTAGAATGTAAAAGAGTAGCATCCTCGAAAGCATGAGAACCTACCAAAAAGTATATGTTTGTATGGAATTAGTACACACTTGTACTAAGTACATGTATATGCAAGCACACACCAGGGACATGCATGAGAAAGAATATCTCTTTCCTAACAACATGAATTTTGGAAGTCAAGTCAGTAGACTTGTTAAATTGAGATTGGGAAAATTATGCCATGAGAGTGACATGCATCATTATAATTATCAAATTGCACACAACACATAACATCTACATATAGCACATAACATATGACACATAGCTTCTTTCATATTATTCATTCATATGACATGAGACCTTATTATCATGGACTTGACCTTAAGACTTTCCAAAATGAGGGCTCAACATATGGGACCTCAAGTAAGGAGCCTTATTTAGCAAACAAAGAGTCTGCTTCATTCATTCATTCATATGTACCTCATTCAAGTTCATTCATAGGCCAGTGTGAACACCAGTTATACCTAGGATGTAGTTTAAGACTTTCATCAGGTTTGCTGTGCAATGATCAGGATTAACCTAATGTCATTAGCTGAATCTAGATCACCTCTTGATTATCCTATCCTAACACCTTCGGTATCATTCATTTCTTTATATGATTCACTTGAGGCTGGCCTCATTCATTCATTGGGAACTTTAACTTTAATCGACATAGATCATGTGAGCATCATGAAATCCAGTGTCTCTCCCACACTGAAAAGAGGTGGAATCACCAGCCAAAGTTACTCAATAACATGCTAGTGTATATGGGAATTTAACCCCGCCAGATCCCTATAGTGGCAATATATGTTTAAAGACTAAATTTATGGAGACCCATACCCGGCAAGACGGACAGACTCATCTCATGAGAGTTACCTGAACCTCTGCCCTTCCTGAAAGAAGGCATCACCGCTCATAGCTAGCCTATCGATGCTCAGTATAAAGTTCCATTACATTCAACTCATACATCATGGAAGTTGTCTTCTAGTATTAGGACATCATAGCTCAATAGATGATTTTTCAGCTCATCATTAGTATTAAGTGTTTTAAACTCAATATTTTCATTAGAGTGTTCATAGAGACAGGTCTCTTCATTATCTTACACTCTCTTTGGTGAGTACGTATTGGTAACATTTACTTAGGCTCATTTGAGATTGCTCTCATCATATACATTAGTCATACATCATGATTGTCACCACATTCTTCATTATTAGCACCTTTATTTTTTATAGTTACTCACCTCTTATTACGTGGATGTTCATTTCTTCATTTCATTACGTATATCTTAGGTTCACATATTTTTTAACGTATGTTAAACTTATGTGTCTATACATATAAGTCATGGGGCTTCATTTATAGTTCGTTAAGTGATTCTTACTTTCCTAAGAATATGCATTACAAGACTTATGTATCTTGTATATACGTCATGATCTTGATTTTTGATCTAAGTAGATGGCATTATTCTTGAATATTTTACTCACGTATGACTTATGTATCAATACGGAGGTTTGGGAACGGGAACCAAATCTTGAATCACTTGGATATCATTTATATTTTTCATTGATTTTATTTCTAATATTCATAACTTTAGAACTCTAAATTAAATCTCAACATCTTCATGAAATAATCAATTTTCTATTTTAATTAGAATTCTAACTTAAATCTCAACATTTACATGAAATAATTAATTTTCTATTTTAATTAGAATTCTAAATTAAATCTCAACATTTGCATGAAGTAATAAATTTCTATTTTAATTAGAATTCTAAATTAAATCTCAACAATTACATGGAAGGATTACTTTTCTATTTTTAATTAGAATTCTAAATTAAATCTCTATATTTACATGAGAGAATTAATTTTCTATTTTGATTAGAATTCTAAATTAAATCTCAATATTTACATCAAAGGATTAATTTTCTATTTTAATTTTACGACAAATTAACCGAAAGGTTGGGGGTTCGAGCCCCAACAACCCCTTTGAGTTTTAGAATTAAATTTGCTACAGTAGGGAGGTTGTGGGTTCGAATTCCTGCAACCCCCCTTATTTTCATTTAATTTTCGCTGAAGAGGAGGAGGTTGTGAGGTGGTGGGTTCGAATCCCCACAGCCTCACTTTTATTTCCTTAATATTCCCCCCCCCCTTCAGCGCTAAGTAGTGGGTTCGATCCCCACGCCTCGCATCCCCTTTTTCTTTCCGAGAATTGGGGGTCATGGGTTCGATTCTTGGCCCCAACCCTTTTTTTTCTTTTTCGCGAATTGGGGGTCGTGGATTCGATCCCCACCCACAGCCCCTTTTTTTTTCTTTTTTTGCGAACTGGCAGTTACACGGGTGAGGTCACAGGTATGTTATTTCCAAATTCTTTCATTAAACTTTAGTCTAAATTAGCAATGCATTGTTGCTTGAATTTTTTGTCCTTCTCCAACCATTATTAGGTGCAATTTTTTTCATAAGTTTGAATAGCTATAAAATGGTTATTCAATTCAATATACTTCATCATAATGAACATCACATTGTACACCCATTACACACATAAAATACAAAATAAATACACAATTTATACACCCCAAAACAGTGCCTAAAACACTGCCCTATACACGCCTATTCATCAACTTTTCCGGTCATATTTTGATGATCATTATCGTAATTTTCCGCACATAAACACATTCATATTTAATTTAAACACATCATTCATGCAAAAATCTAGCAGCACAACATACCCATCCTACAAATTCGTTAGGGAACTAAGTACAAGGACATACGAAGGGGAACAACCTTAGTTTCAAGAGTTTTAGAAACCTTCGAAAGAAAGTACTCTTGGAGGAAGAATTCCATGAGAGAAACCCATACCTTTATTGATCTTCAAATGAAGAATTTTCTGCCCAAAACTCTCTCCAAAAATCAGTTCAAGTTTCCTCAACGTCCACACCACTCAACGAACAACTTCTCTTCGCCTTAATGTTTTTGGTTGCTTTGTTTTTCTTAAAATTTCATGTGAGTTCTTCAAGTGTGAAAAACTCTCAAGTGTGAAGAATTCTTGATGTATTCTCTGGTTTTTGTTGTGCTTGACAGAATAATGTGAGTGAGATGGAGAACGTGAGAGAGAGAGAGAGTTAAGAAGCGTGAGAGAGAGAGAGCTATTAGGATTAGGAGACTAAATTCAAGAATTAGTCAAATAGAATATAAATTAATACAAATCTGATTTATTTTAATTAGTATGTGAAAGGACCATTATGCCCTTAAAATATTAGATTTTTAATTAATAATTAAATCACCTTAAGTACCTATTTATTCGATTTTTTTGAATCGTTACATTATCCCTCCCCCCCCCTTAGGAACATTCATCCTCGAATGACAGTACCATTATTCATCGTAATGCCAATCAGATCATAACTTAATCTCTATGTACAATCAGCCAATAGCGACAAAATACAAAGAGATAAGGAACTATAGCCTTACGAGTAGGAAGTCTAACCTCAAGAGCTGAAAAGATGGGGATAGAGGGATCTCATGTCGGCCTCAGCCTCCCACATCGCACCCTCCACAAGATGATTTCTCCACAATACCTTCACTGTGGCAATCTCCTTGTTCCTCAGCCGCTTGACTAGTCTGTCTAAGACCTCAACAGGTACCTCCTCATAAGACAAGTCCTCACCAACCACCAAACCTGCAACAAGTAGGATTGATGCTGGATCACCTAGGCACTTCTTCAACATAGAGACATGAAAGACTGGATGAACAGAAGCTAGCTCCGCAGGCAATGCTAACTCATAGGCCACCTCACCCACACGTTGTAAGATCTCATATGGCCCCACATACCTCAGACTCATCTTCCCTTTTCTACCAAATCACATCACCCCTTTCATAGGAGATATCTTCAAGTAAACCTGGTCACCAACGTTAAATTATAAGGGCCGCTTTTTGTTGTCTGCATATGATTTTTGTCGGATGTAAGCAGTAACCAACCTGTCCCTAATCACTCTAACTTTCTCCAAAGCCTCATGAATGATTTCTGACCCAAAATGGATGATTCTCCTACCTCGAACCACCCAACTGGATATCCACACCTCCTACCATACAATGCCTCAAGCGGTGTCATCCCAATGGTGGAGTGATAACTATTATTATACGAGAACTCTATCAAAGGTAGATGGTCATCCCAGTTACCTCTAAAGTCAATCATACACGCTCTCAACATGTCCTCCAATGTCTGAATGGTGTGCTCTGCCTGCCCGTCTGTCTGAGGATGAAAGGCAGTGCTAAGTTTCACCTGCGTGCCCAAGCTTTTCTGGAAAGATCTCCAGAAATGCGATGTAAACTGAGCTCCTCTATCTGAAATGATAGGCAAAGGAATCCCTACCATCTCACGATCTCATCAATGTAGAGTCTCGCGTAATCTTCGGCTCTATAAGTAGACTTCACAGGGATAAAGTGGGCAGACTTAGTCAATCTGTCCATAATAACCCATATGGAGTCATGCTGCCTCCTAGTCCTCGGAAGACCAACCACAAAGTCCATATTAATGGCCTCCCATTTCCAAGTCGGAACCTCAATAATTTGAGTCAGACCACCAGGCTTAAGATGCTCTGCCTTAACCTGCTGACAATTAGGACATTTAGCCACATAGTCTGCAATATCTTTCTTCATGCTATCCCACTAATAAATCTGCTTAAGATCATGATACATTTTGGTGGAACCTGGATGTATGGAATATCTGGAACCATGGGCCTTTGCCACAATTCTTTCCCGTAAATCATCTACATCTGGTACAGAAAATTGGTTCTGGTATCTAATTATTCCATCATCTCCCAAAGCAAAAGACTCGTTCATTCTTAACAACACTGAGTCCTTCAGCTCCATCAACACAGGATCAAGATGCTGACCCTTTTTGACTTCAACTATCAGGGATGATTCAGAACTAGGGTAAACTGAAATACCTCCACTAGTAGAGTCAACCAACAGCACACCCAATCTGTCCAGTCTGTATACCTCTTTCACTAGCTCCTTCTTATCATCCTCAACGTGGGCAGTACTCCCCATGATCATCCTACTCAAAGCATCATCCACAACATTAGCCTTACCTGGATGGTAGTGCACATTCATGTCATAATCCTTCAAAAGCTCCAGCCATTTGCGTTGACAGAGATTCAACTCCCTCTGTGTGAACACGTACTGGAGACTCTTATGATCCGTGAACACATCCACACGCACTCCATACATATAATGCCTCCACAGCTTCAATGCAAACACCACAACTACTAACTTCAAGTCATGAGTGGGATAATTCTTTTCATGAACCTTGAGCTGTCTGGAAGCATAGGCTATCACCTTACCAGCTGCATAAGAACACATCCCAAACCAACCCTAGATGAATCATAATAGACAGTTTAATTCTTGTCACTCTTAGGCAGAGTAAGCACCGGAGCTTAAGTGAGTCTGTCCTTGAGCTCCTGGAAACTCTTCTCACAAGTCTCCATCCATTCAAACTTGGATTTCTTCTTTGTCAAGGTTGTAAGTAGGGCAGGAATGGAAGAAAGGCCCTCCACAAGCCTGCGGTAGTAACCAGCCAATCCAAGAAAGCTACAGATATCAGTGGGAGTAAGAGGCTTTGGATAGTTCTTAACAGCTTCAGTCTTCCTGAGGTCCACTTCTACACCTTGATCGAACACAACATGGCCCAGGAAGGTCACTGATCTCAGCTAGAATTCACGCTTGCTGAATTTAGCATACAACTGATGTTGTCTAAGTACCTGCAAGGTTAGTCTCAAATGTTGTTCATGCTCTTCCTTGGTCTTAGAGTAGATGAGAATGTCATCAATGAATACTATGACGAAAGAGTCAAGGTATTCACGGAAGACTCTGTTCATGAGATCCATAAATGCAGCAGGTGCATTCGTGAGACAAAATGACATAACCAAAAACTCATAATGACCATAACGGGTACGAAAATCTATTTTGGGACATTCCTATCACTAACCCTAAGCTGATGATACCCTGAACGAAGATCAATCTTAGAGAAGAAACTAGACCCTTGGAGCTGATCGAACAAATCATCAATTCTGGGAAGTGGATACTTATTCTTTACAGTGACTTTGTTGAGCTGCCGATAATCGATACACATTCTAAGGGTCCCATCTTTCTTCTTTACAAACAACACTGGAGCGCCCCAAGGGGATATGCTCGGCTGAATGAAACCCTTATCAGTGAGATCTTTTAACTGCAGCTTCAACTCTTTGAGTTCTGCTTGAGCCATTCAATAAGGAGGAATTGAGATTGGTTTAGTATCATGTTCTAAGTCGATATCAAAGTCAATCTCTCGAAGGGGAGTGACTCCAGGCATATCTTCAGGAAACACATCTAGAAATTCATTTACTACAGGAACCGAGTCTATGGAAGGAACGTCATGATCTAAATCATTAACACTCACAAGATGACATAGTAACCCCTTGGCCATCATTTTATTGGCCTTAAGATTTGAAATCAAGGGGTTAGGACGATTCGAATTGTAACCCTCCTAGACTAACTCTTCTTCATTAGGGAAGCGAAACCTCACCACTCTACTACGACAGTCCAAGCAAGCATAATAGTTGTGAAGCCAGTCCATGCCAAGAATAATGTCAAAATCATGCATGGGTAACTCAATCAAGTTTGCACACATAGTCTTGACACTTACAACTTTTGGGTAATTCTTGTATACCCTATCAGTTCTTACATTTTCTCCTAAAAGCATACTAACCACTATAGGATCATGCAGAACTTCAAGTAGTATTTCAAAAGTAAGAGCATAAACAGAAGTTGAGAATACTTGCAGCATACTTGTGACCACATCAGCGGACTTCTATTGCTCCTCCCTGCCTTTTCAGGGCGTAGAATTTGTTCCTCTTGGGAGGCTCGCCTGCTGCTACACTCTGTGGGGTAGGCCTGGGATGAGCATTACCTCCACCCTAACCTCTATTCTGGGGACAGTCTATGACCATGTGTCCACTCTTACCACAACCGAAGCAGGCATTAGTGCCCTGTCTGCATTCTCCACTGTGAGCTCGGCCACACTTAGCATAGGTCTTCTTTGGACGCTGCATATCACATCCATTGCCCCTCTTGAGTTAGAATCTTCCTCCTCTAGGTGTTGTATTTCTTTGAGGGTTAGAATTCCCATAACTCTGTTGCCCCTTCTTGAATTTGGGCTGCTCACGGACGCCAAAATTATTTCTATGGACTCTATGGCTGGAACCTGCCTGATCTTGAGGTGTAGGCCTCTTAATATCACGAATACCTCTCCTCTTGCGGTTGTCCTCTACCTGCTGGACATGTACCATTAACTTAGAAAGGTCTATATTATCATAGATCATCGCAGACCGACACTCCTCCTCCAGGTCTTCATTGATTCCTGTGAGGAACCTACTCATCTCATCCCTACTGTTCGAAACTAGGGAAGTAGCATACCTAAATAATTTCAACAAATCTAAGTACTCTCCTCATTCTTGCTATTAAATATCAAGGGAAGTAACATACCTTGATAGCTTCACAAACTTCAGGGAATGCTCCCTGACCGTCAAAGATTCTTGTTTAAGGTTGATGAACTCCTCAACCTTTGACTCCTTCATCTCTCTGGGGAAGAATCTTTCCAAAAATATTGTCTTGAACAGCTCCCATGTGACTGGCACTCCACCTAGGACACAACTATCTTGCCACATCTTGCACCAAGTTTGTGCAACATCCTTGAGCTGGTAGGAATCCAGTTCAGCCTTCTTAATATCAGTGGCCCCCATGGCCACCAGGATCTTATGCACCTCATTTATAAACTCTTGAGGATCCTCTGAAGTCTTAGCCCCTGTGAATATAAGAGGATTTATCCTCGGGAAATCTCGCAGTCTGTCAACCATGCTGCGAACCGGTGGGTTCTCCCTCTGAACATCCTACCGGTTGACTTCGGCAGTCATAACCTGGGCCTGCATCATGATAGACTATGCCATCTGGGCTAGATATGCCCTCATCTCCGCATCAGTCAACCCAGCTGGGTTAACCGCATGGCCACTTCTTCAGCTGGAGCCTAGGGTGGATTCTGATTACCCCTAGTTGCTGCTCCTCCCGTCCTCAGACCCTTAGTCCTCCAAGTGTTCATTCTATGAAAACAACAAGGATTGATGTTAGACATGTTCATAACACCAAGAATTCAAACATTAGGAAAAGCACGATAAGATCAGGATAAGGAAAATTTTTCCTACGCATCATGCAGTCTCTAATCCAGGATAGTGGTGCACTTCACTACCATGACTTAGAAAGTACTCAATGTGGTTGATGTGAACTCATTATTCTCGGAATTTAGCATAGCGCTCTGATACCAACTTTGTAACGACTGAAATCTAGACCCCAGACGAGACCGGCGTCGTTGACCTCTCAAAGGTCGCAAACAATCCTACTTACGTCATTCTTACTTAATTAGATTAATTTTAGCGAAAAATTTGAATTTTTTTTTATTCTTTAAACATACTTGCTAAACATTCTTAATATTTCGTAACCGTTCAGCATCAACCATCTAACATTTAAGAGATAAGCAATTGAAAGAAATAATTCATTTAAGTATTAATTGTATATCGGCCAAAATAGCACCAATACAAAGTCTAAACCAAAACAGGAAAGAAACGCTAGTAGAACATGCTCCACTAGCTCAACTAAACCAAAACAGTAAAGATACGCTAGTGGAACATGCTCCACTAGCTCAACTCTAAAACTATGCTAGAATGTAAAACCGTAGCATCCTCAAAAGCATTAGGACCTACCAAACTCCGAATGAATGCTGACGTCCGGATAGCTGCAACAAAGAATCTGTAGCTCTACCGTCCACTTGTGCCTGCACCTAAAAGTAGATGTTTGTATGGAATTAGTACATACTTGTACTAAGTACGAGTATATGAAAACACACACCAGGGACATGCATGAGAAAGAATAGTTCTTTCCTAACAACATGATTTTTGGAAGTCAAGTCAGTAGACTTCCCAAATTGAGATTGGGAAAGTTATGCCATGAGAGTGACATGCATCATTATAATTATCAAATTGCACACAACACATAACATCTACATATAGCACATAACATATGACACATAGCTTCTTTCATATTATTCATTCATAAGACATGAGACCTTATTATCATGGACTTGACCGTAAGACATTCCAAAATGAGGGCTCAACATATGGGACCTCAAGTAGGGAGCCTTCTTTAGCAAACACAGAGTCTGCTTCATTCATCCATACGTACCTAATTTCAGTTCATTCATAGTCCAGTGTGAACACCAGCTATACCTAGGATGTAATTTAAGACTTTCATCGGGTTTGCTGTGCAATGATCAGGAATAACCTAATGTCATTACCTGAATCTAGCTCACCTTTTGATTATCCTATCCTAACAACTTCGGTATTATTCATTTCTTTAAATGATTCATTTGAGGCTGGCCTTATTCATTCATTGGGAACTTTAACTTTAACCGACATAGATCATGTGAGCATCATGAAATCCAGTGTCTCCCCCACACCGAAAAGAGGTTGAATCACCAGCCAAAGTGACTCAATAACATGCTAGCGTATATGGGAATTTAACCCCGCCAGATCCCTACAGTGGAAATATAGGTTCAAAGACTAGGAGATGTATGGAGACCCATACCCGGCAAGCCGGACAGTCTCATCTCATGAGAGTTACGTGAACCTCCGCCTTTCCCGAAAGAAGGCATCATCGCTCATAGCTAGCCTATCGGTGCTCAGTATAAAGTTTCATTACATTCAACTCATACATCATCAAAGTTGGCTTCTAATATTAGGACATCATATCTCAATAGATGATTTCTCATCTCATCATTAGTATTAAGTGTTTTAAACTCAATATTTTCATTAGAGTGTTCATAGAGACTGGTCTTTTTATTATCTTACACTCTCCTTGGTGAGTACGTATTGGTAACATTTACTTATGCTCATTTGAGATTGCTCTCATCATATACATTAGCCTCACATCATGATTGTCACCACATTCTTCATTATTAACACATTTATTTTTCATAGTTACTCACCTCTTATTACGTGAATGTTCATTTCTTCATTTCATTACGTATATCTTAGGTTCACTTATTTTTGCACGTATGTTAAAGTTATGTGTATATACATACAAGCCATGGGGCTTCATTTATAGTTCGTTAAGTGATTCTTATTTTCCTAAGATTATGCATTACAAGACTTATGTATCTTGTATATATGCCAAGATATTGATTTTTGATCCAAGTAGATGGCATTATTCTTGAATATATTACTCACGTATGATTTATGTATCAATATGGAGGTTTGGGCACGAGAACCCACATCTTGAATCACTTGGATATCATTTATATTTTATATTGATTTTATTTCTAATATTCATAACATTAGAACTCTAAATTAAATCTCAACATCTTCATGAAATAATTAATTTTCTATTTTAATTAGAATTCTAACTTAAATCTCAACATTTATATGAAGTAATAAATTTCTATTTTAATTAGAATTCTAAATTAAATCTCAACAATTACATGAAAGGATTAATTTTTTATTTTTAATTAAAATTCTAAATTAAATCTTAATATTTACATGAGAGAATTAATTTTCTATTTTTAATTAGAGTTCTAAATTAAATCTCAATATTTACATGAAAGGATAAATTTTCTATTTTAATTTTACTACTAATTAATCGAAAGGTTGGGGGTTCGAGCCCCAACAACCCCTTTGAGTTTTAGAATTAAATTTGGTTGTGGGTTCGAACCCCCGCAACCCCCCTTATTTTCTTTTAATTTTCGCTGAAGAGGAGGAGGCTGTGAGGTGGTGGGTTCGAACCCCCACAACCTCACTTTTATTTCCTTAATATTTTGCCCCCCCCCCCCCCTTCAGCGTTGAGGTCGTGGGTTCGATTCCCACGCCTCGCATCCCCTTTTTTTTTCTTTTTTGCGAACTGGGGGTCGTGGGTTCGATCCCCACCCCTAGCTCCTTTTTTTTCGCGAATTTGGGGTCGTGGATTCGATCCCTACCCCAGCCCTTTTTTTTTCTTTTTCGCGAACTGGGGGTCGTGGGTTCGATCCCCGCCCCCAATCCCTTTTTTTTCTTTTTTTTGGGAACTGGCAGGTACGCGGGTGAGGTCACAGGTTCGAATTCTGGTGGCCTCACCCCTTTAAAATTTTATTAAATTTCCAAATTCTTTTATTAAACTTTAGTCTAAATTAACAATGCATTGTTGCTGGAAATTTTTGTCCTTCTCCAACCATTTTTAGGTGCAATTTTTTTCATAAGTTTAAATAGCTATAAAATGGTTATTTCATCCTAATGAACATCACATTGTACACTCATTACACACATAAAATACACAATAAATACACAATTTATACACCCAAAACAGTGCCTAAAACACTGCCCTATACACGTCCATCCATCAACTTTTCCGGTCATATTTTGATGATTCTTATCGTTATTTCCCGCACATAAGCATATTCATATTTAATTTAAACACATCATTCATGCAAAAATCTAGCAGCACAACATATCTATCCTACAAATTCGTTAGGGAACTAAGGGCAAGGACATACAAAGGGGAACAACCTTAGTTTCAAGAGTTTAAGAAACGTTCGAAAAAAGTACTCTTGGAGGAAGAATTTCATGAGAGAAACCTATACCATTATTGATGTTCAAACGAAGAATTTTCTACCCAAAACTCTCTCCAAAAATCAGTTCAAGTTACCTCAACGTCCACACCACTCAACGAACAACTTCTCTTCACCTTAATGTTTTTGGTTGCTTTGTTTTTCTTAAAATGTCATGTGAGTTCTTCAAGTGTGAAGAACTCTTGATGTATTTTTTTGTTTTTTTGTGCTTGGCAAAATAACGTGAGAGAGATGGAGAATGTGAGAGAGAGTTAAGAAGCGTGAGAGAGCTATTAGGATTAGGAGATAAATTCAAGACTTAGTCAAATAGAATTTAAATTAAATTAATACAAATCTGATTTATTTTGATTAATACGTGAAAGGATCATTATGCCCTTAAAATTTCAGATTTTTAATTAATAATTAAATCACTTTAAGTACCTATTTATTCGATTTCTTTTTTGAATAGTTACAGTTTTCACTCCATTTCAGTCATTTCTTTGAGTATATAGGGAGTAAGTTCTGGGAAAAGAACAGGTCTGCTTAAGCTTTGGAGTCGGTTTGTTTTGATATCCGGTAGGAATAAAAAAAAAGTCCAGGTTGGTGAGATGCTTAGATCTATGTTACCAAATAGGTGAAATTCTTTAGTTTGCAGAATGGAAACAATGTTGACATTCACTACAAACATGGAGTGCAGATTCTTTGGAATAGACTATTTTAGGTCATATAATCAATAGACTTCAAGAAAATATAAAAAAGCTAATTTCCGTAAGTCGTAGAAGCTTCAGAATATTGACATAGTAAAAATAATGTAAATACTAATAATGTATATTAAGATTGTATTTTTATTGAATTGAATTGAATAGGCTGGTGGCGATGGTTCTAACTCACAATTGAGATTGTTGTAACATAGCATTCTAACCTCGCTTTCATCTTGTCTGTTGGCACTATATTTTGGTCTGATCTATTCACCTTTCATACATCATAGACCTGATCAGATCTAAGGTACAAACTGATGAAATTGCATTTGTACAGGGTACTGACAGTGTATGGGTCTGCTGATGAAGTTATTCCATTGGAGGATGCTTTAGAGTTTGATAAGATCATACCAAACCACAAGTTGGTTAACATCGAAGCAGCCAATCATTGCTATACATCACACCAAGCTGAGTTAACGCCTGTGGTCTTGCCATTCATAATGGAAGGTCTGCAACACTCAGCAGCAGAACTAGG